TTATTATCCTCAAATTTTCTCTAATGTCTTTCATATTTTGATGGCGTAAAAGTATTATTTTCAAGCTGAAGGACTGAAAACTGAATGTAGGGCATCTCCTGTTCATCTAAACCAGTAGGGTGTACCAGAGGCAGTCGTCTTGAGTATCCCTCACTTAAGCACTCCAAGTTTCATTCTCTGCCCACACATGCAACAAGCCTGATTTCCATGGCGACAGCATCCCTGTTACAAGCACAGGAAGAGCATTTTTCACTGAGCTCGGACACAGGAAACAAACAAAGGGGATGCCGTCCTTTGAGGAAGAACATGACAAAAACAAACACACACACACATACATGACCCCGTCTCGCTTTTTCTCTCTCCTGGTCAGCACTCAACCCCGCTCCAGTTCTCTCATGCAGAGGCAGCTTCAGGTCTGCGCCACGTGCTGCTCTCACACTCCACTTACTATCCAGGAATCCCTCGGGGATGGGAAGAATAAAAGGGATTTAATATTTATTATATAACATCATAGCATGTGTGCTATAGCTAGGTATGTAACAGGGCAGAGACCAAAGTCTGCTTAAAGACTACACTTAATAAATCCACTTCTGTGCATTGTAGGCTTTGATAGTTCCTATAATCCTTACCTTATTATGGGCTTAAAAACAAGAAGAGTTCTTGCAGGTTGTTATTCAGTCGAGATATTTAAACAGACAAATAGCAAAATTGAAAGCGCCTCTCCATGTTCATGAAGTGCTGAAGTCTCCCCGCAGCTGCTTCACAATAAACGTCATAATACGTAATTTCACTGGAAAGCTTTTAAAGTGAAGCAGATGCAGGAAGTGTTTACTTTTAATTAATAGCATTGCATCCCTGCACCTGTCCTACTGCTATCTGCTGCTTCTGTTCTTGTCTGCATAATGGCTTGGCCTAAAGGCAATTGTTTACGCACAGCTCTCTTAAGGTCCCATCACAGCGTTACAATCAGCTTGAGGTCTGGGCTTTGCAACACCTTGATTGTCTTGTGTTTTCAGCTTTTCTGTTGTAGATTAGCTGCTGTGCTTGGACCCATTGTCCTGTTGTATGCTCTAACAAGCTTTAGCAGTTGGACAGATGGCCTCACATTTGACTCCAGAATACTTACAGAGGAGTTCATGGTAAACTCAGTGACTACAAGGTAGCCAGATCCTGTGTACCCCTCCACCAACATAGCTTGTATGAGCTGTTTCTGGTTTTCACCAAACATCCAGACATCTCCACTTTGGGCTCATCTTCTTGTTCCAACAGTCTCGTGTTTGTTCAGATGCAGCTTCTATTTTCCAGTTGTACTGTCATGAGCTGTAACATTTAACATGACAACTTTTTCTATCTTTCTACCATGCAAATGTGTATTCATTAGGTTTTTTATGTGTATGCAACTTGCATTGTGAGATCACCTATGCACTACGTTTGTTGTCTCCATTGTCCTGTGGTAATCTCCACTCTTCATTATCGGCCTTACTCCCAAGTCACGACCTAAATCCAGTTTGCTGAAACACACACACACACACACACACACACACACACACACACACACACACACACACACACACACACACACACACACACACAATTTGTCAGCTGTTCACTAAACAGAACAGCGAGCATATCATTCCTGTGTAAACAACAAGAGGACAAGGCAAGAATGCTAATTTGGATGTAGGCAGGTGTGTGTTCATGTGTGCTTTGAAGGCTCTTATCACTGAGAAACAGCTCTGAATTGTTAGGCTTGTTGACGTTAACTTCTGTCGCGATCTACTGTTTACCTAGCTGTGTGTTCTGTCAGTCCTCCGGTGTAAGTTTATTTTTATTTTTTCCAGTTATGTTATATTTTGAGTTCACGACTGTCTCTGGAGTCTGCACCTTGGGTCCTATTCCTGTCTGCACACAGCCACTCATAACAACTAGAAGTTCATGCTGACAATTCCTTTGCATCTGTTGTCACTGCCATGCATATACAAGTCTTATCTGTTGTCTGTTATCTTTTCATTGTGTTGGAACACAGCTGAAATTAGGAGACGGGGTTATGTTTATTAAATTTAACATTACTTGCCATTGGTGTCCAAGAAAACATTCTGCCTACTCAATACAAAAAATACTGAAGTCATAAAAGACAAATATATTTTAATTTAAAAGTTTCATAACTGGAAAAAAAACATGTTTCCTGCACTAGAGATTTAAAACTTTCCAGATCACACTGAACGACAGCGGGTAAACAGGTCTGAGTGACCACTGTTATCCTCATTCCATGTTGACAATGCCTCCATTCATCACACATGAGGGGTGAGTGCTTTTGATAAGAATGGACATCATATGGAATAGCTTTAGCACTCACCAGCTGTGACCCCCAGTGGGGTCAGCTGTAGGAGATTTTGTCAGACAGCTGTCTCCGCCACCATCATTAAAACATCAAATCCAGGATGTCTTTTGGAAGAATGAAGCATCCATCCTTCCTGCTGTTGTTACAGAGACTTTAGAATCAATGTCTGGGTGCACTGACGCTGGTGTGACGTGGCCGCTCGACAGCTTGCTATGTTTTGTTGTTTGTGCCTGTTATTTGTAGGCTTACTGTACATCTGTTTGCACAGTGATGCTCAGAGCTCCAGTGGCTGCCTGAAAAGAAAATACGTCTGTAATCTTAAGTAGACTGCATGGAAAAATTGCATAATCACAGTTAATCTAAAGAGTCAATGCACTTAGAGCTAAAACTTAAAGAAAATAACACTATAGTAGCCTAGAGTGGCTGCTGATTAAGTGTTCTTCTTTAAGCCACCATTGCCAGCGGCATTTAAAATTTTTCAGTGAAAGTGTTGGTCTGATTGACTTGCTGCTTTTCAGAAGCATGGTTTGAGTTTGTGTATCATTGCAGGTCTCTCTGCCCACTTGTGTGGGTGTGAAGTCTGAGTGTGCGTGCTGCTGATGTCGTCAGTCTCTTTCAGTAACCACGTATCTTTGCGCACGCTGTCCGAGTGCGCTCTGCGTGTCTGCGTCCTTTAAATCAACAACAGGAGTGCTTAACTTAATGGGCCTTAAAACCTGCCGACTCACTAACCTTTTGGTTCGTAAATAAGAGACAGAGAGAGGATGACAAGCGGAGAGAAAGCGAGAGAGAGAGAGAGAAAGTTGTGTGTGGGAGAGGCAGAAAGGGAGAGAGTGAGATACGTAGGAGAGAGAAATGTGTTTCTGTGTGAGAGAAAAAGAAAGTGGAGGTGAGAAAGTGAAATAATGTGTAAGCACAAGAAATAGATGTGTGTGTGTATGTGGAAATATCCAAATTCTGGGACATATTTGCATTACCGGGCACATAGTTACCATGGAAACATGCTGATGATGCACCAGGACATACAGTATGACTTGAAGACTTTTCATCTTTTCTGTTTTTTGGCCTCAAAATATACGCACTGGCAGCATGTCTGCTGCTTAGTGGTCACCGCTTCGGTTTTTCTGCACCACTTTTGCCCGAGATGATGTGTCAGTCACACAGCGCCATTAATTTTGCGACGTCCTCATTTGGATTTTGTATTGTTGGCTTTCAGTACATCTCTCCCTGAGCTCTGTTTATGAGGTTCACCTGAATGCAAATGAATGAAAGGGGGTCATTTCCACCCACAGTCACATCCTTCCATATAAAGCCGGTGTTACATCATATTTCACAATGCTGCTGCTGTATAAAATCTTGAGCTCTCAAAAGACATCTTATGATTGTCTTTTCTGTTTTTTTTCTTTTTTCTTTTGGTGCAAACATCATGTACTCATGAAAAACTCACAATTTTCTTTACTTTCCGAACCAGAGTCACAGTCCATTCTTGAACTAGAACACTTGTGCGATATGCTTATGGGTACCTGAACATTTCAGGACTGAGCCACATTTAACTTAAAACATCACTACTGGAAAGTTTGTTTCTGCTTGTTGTGTTATATCTATTCTCAATGCATCATGATGTCTGCTCCTGCACTTGTGACACTACGGCAAATGCTGTTTCAGTTTTATTTTATATTGACACACTTGAAGCCTGAATCATGAAAATACGAATAAATCATCAGAATGAACACAGCGCACTATTGCAAGCCTTATATGTAGACTCTTTAGCAAACTTTTATTTTAAGAAATGATATGGTTCCTTAAGATCTAGATTTAAATTGTCACACCTCACAAACATGTGGACATGGGAGGAAGAGTGCATGTATAATGGGAAAAGGATGTTGAAGATGGAGCTGCCAGGCAGGAGGAAAAGAGAAAGATCACAGAAAGGATTTGTGGATGTAGTGAAGGAGGACATGCAGGGGATTGGTGTGCCAGAAGAGGATGCTTGGGTTAGACTGAAATGGAAGCAGATGATGTGCAGTGGTGACCCCTGTGGCAGCCTGAAGAAAAAGAAGAAGAAGAAGACATGTCTTACATGTGTATAGATATAAATACAAACAAAACTGGCGAGGCTGTCTTGGCTCATAAAGAGATATACACCATAAATACCACAGAGTTCACCGAGTTTGTATCAGTGAAAATTCATGCATTTTAAAGCGGTGTATTCATGTCAATATTATAAGCTTATTATAGTAACTCAACTGATAATTGATCAGCGGATTATTAGAGAGATTTCTGTTTGATGACGTGCTTTATGTCCACGGATGAAATATTACCTTTTTTAATCTTGATTTCATCTGGCTGAATAGATTTAGGATTAATTTTTAAAGTACTTTTTCAGGGTTTTTTTCTTTTTAGTCAGCATGTCCTCTAGCTCAGCACACGCAGGCTACATTTGTTGAATGTGCTAGGAGGGGGGGTTGGGATTGAAAACATGGTCATTGACCGTTTGCCTTTTATTGATAACAGATACCTGGTGCGGCTGCAAGTCGTTGCACACACCATTGTCCAACAAGGTCGCAAAGTTTAAATAAACATCTTTCATTGTTTTCCACCCCTCTCCTCTTTACACCTGTTTTCTTCCTTGTTTCCGTTCCCTCTATGCAGGAGACAGTAGAGTATGCCTTCCTCATCATTTTCACAATAGAGACATTTCTGAAGATTATTGCCTACGGTCTGGTGATGCACCAAAACTCCTACGTCAGAAACGGCTGGAACATGCTGGACTTTGTCATTGTCATTGTGGGGTGAGTTTACAGGTAGCACATGATGCAGGATATACGTACAAATACACATTTGCACACGCACACAATTCTTTTTACATAAGAAACCAATCATGCGCACATCTTCTACGCTCTCTTCCATGTACTTGAAAAAAAATGGTATAACACACATTTGTGCATTTGCGCAACTTAGCCCAACATCTGGCCATCCGCTCTCTCAATCAAAAATGAATCATGACCTGTATCACTACAATAGTGATGTTTTGAGCACATGCACCAAAGTGCACACTCATACACGCACAAAGACACAAATATATGGCTTTGTATAGAGTGACGGTTTATCAGTAGACCACCTGGCTCCTGTGGGACTTCAATGTAAACTGTGATGAGGTGTGAAAAACTAAAGGTAAATATCCATAGACATATGTAAAGAGCACACACATAAACCATGCACACTTGCACAGGCAGGTGCTTGAACAGAGAGACAAGAACAAAGAGGACTCACGGCTTTGTTCATTGCTTTCTGACTCTTTTGCTTTTATCTTTTTCTGCTCTGTTTTCATCACATTGCCATTACTGCTTCTTCCCTTACATGCCTCTGCCTCACTTTCTCTATATTTTATCTCACCCTCTCTCCCCCTCTCTCATCTCCAGGTTGTTCAGTGTGGTTCTGGAGATGATAACCAAAGATGCAGATTCTGGTGGTCAGTCTGGAGGCAAACCTGGAGGGTTTGACGTCAAGGCCCTCCGAGCCTTTCGCGTGCTACGACCCCTTCGCCTTGTCTCTGGAGTTCCCAGTGAGTAAACATAAAAATGTGGAATAAATGTACATGTTTTACGCCCTTAAGTCCAAACCAATTAATCTTCTCTTTAATTAAGCGCCCTATGAACTCACACAGGAGTTCTCAGCTAATTTCACAGTGACTGGGTTGAGATGAGTGTAGATAATGTATGCTTGGATGCACGTGATCCTGTCATGGCACTGAAACACACAATGGAAGTAGAAAAAAACCAAAATCTCACAAAACACAATGGAAATATATTTGGGGAGAAAATAATGGGACTAAACAGCTGCTGAAATTACAGAAATCAAAACATGTGAAGGATTGCTCTGAGACACATTAAAAAGAAGCGGAGGATTCATCGGTGTAGTGAGGGACAGATAGATACGTGTTTGCTATTGGAACCAGATGTTCACACCCACATAGTCTTGAGAAATGGGTGTACCCAGCAAACATAAAATACTGTATCCTCAAAAGCTGGATTGGTGTCACTTGCACATAATAAAAACACTAAAGACACAACAGATCACATGTTGACATGAGTCATGGACTCTGAGTAAGGAAGGAAACATCTGGCTTGTTATTGGTGCACATTTCAAAAGCCAGCATCTGTGTGCACGGGACACTTTTGTGATACACACATTAATGCGTACCGGTTTTGGAGCAAAGTATGGTATGCAGATGAAAAACGCTGTGCACATATGGGATGTGAAGAGTATGGCACTATAGTAATGGAATCTACATAATAGGATACGGAGGCAAGCATGGCCACGTCCCAACTTCCTACTGGCATAAAATTCAATGAAAAATTTTAAAAACAGTAGATTTGTTTGAACTATTTTCTCCTAAATGCATGACTACGGCGTGTTATTAGTCTAAATTATCATTAGGTGTGTTTAGTGAAAATGATCTGTTCTGAGTTAGCATGGTTCCACCTGCTCCAACTATTCATTTTATTCCACTTATCCAGTTTAGGGTCACAGTTGGGCTGGAGCCTATTCCAGCTGTTACAGGGCGAGAGGTGGGGTACACAGCTGACAGAGCCTCAGAGCCTTTCATGTGCTGTTAGCATAAGTTAGCGTTTGCACTAGGGACATTTTCTTATTTCTTATTATAAGACACCTTTAACACATCTTCTTTTGTGCTTACCTAGCTTTGTCATCCAGTCTTATGAGTAGCCCAATTTTTCAGTGATTTCAAAGTTGTGTTTTATTACAATATGGAACTTATTGAATTAGGGGACCATGTATTTCACATTAACATTGTGTTGATATTTTCAGCCTGTTATGTTTTATTCAACCCGGTGTTTTGTGTGAAAAACACTTCTTTGCTGTCCCCAGGTTCTCTCTGTTATGTTATTAGATTTCTATTCCAGCTCAGCTGAATTGTCTCTGCAAAGACAGTCACTATGGCAACCTTAAAACACCCAAGTAAAGGGTATTTCAAGCAGCTGGAGTGTTTCTGGTCATTTGTCCTTGAGGCAAAACAGCAGTTCTCATATGTTTTAAATGCATTTGAAGGTAATTAACTGGCTTTTATTAGTCAGCATGGCCAAATATCAACTACTCTATGTTTTTCTCTGCAAACAAAGGTGACAGGTAAACATGGGCAGGATGCAGTTGAGAAGTAGGACATGGTGACCCTGACCGAGTCTGTTGTTTCTGGTGTCGTTATCGCATCAGCATTTGTAATAACAAGCCGTTAGAACTGCTATCAAATAATTATTTAAAATTCATTCAGTAATATTTAAATGCTTGTTTTTGATATAAAGCGCCTTGAGGCGACTGTTGTTGTGATTTGGCGCTATATAAATGAAATTGAATTGAATTGTTATTGAATTAAAAGTTTTTAGTCATTCAGGATGGCAGGGATTATGCAGGAATAAATAAAACATCCTTAAGGAGTTTCACTGGATGCTTGTTAAAGTTTTTATGTAAGCAAGCAAGCTACCCAAAAATGTGTGATTATGCACTGAGATGTTGTAATCTTGATAGTATTGTTAACAAGGAAAAAAGAGCCATAAAATGAATCACAACATGCAGGAACGAGGTTTCTTATAGTAGCTGTATGAAAAGCACAAGACTAGCAAAAAAAAATAAAGATATGAAGATGAGCTGCAATCACAAAGTCAGTTACCCTACCATAGGTACTACATAGTACTTTGTAATATCACACAAATGATACATGTGTCTTTTGTCCTGTCTCCCTCCCCTCATGGCAGCAAACAGCTGCTCCTTCCTGAGACTGGTTCTGTTGGAGGGTTCTTCCTGTTAAATGGGAGCTTTTCCTTCCCACTGTCACCAAGTGCTTGCTCATAGGGGGGTCGTCTGATTGTTGAGCTTTTCTCTGAATTCTCTTACAATATAAAGGTGATATTAAGATGACTGTTGTTGTGATTTGGCTTTATATAAAATAAAAATGACTTGAACTGAAAATAAAAAGACCTTAAATTATATATTCTTTAGTCTTTATTTGGCTTATTGATCTCAATAATCCGCCTGTTTATGAAACAGCTCAAAACTTCTTTTAGTGGCCAAGGTAGGATGTGGGTAAAAGAATGATGGACTATTACAAAGTAGCAAGTGTATAAATTTTGATAAAGCACTATCTCACTGTCTCGCTAAGTGAAATATTCACTGTGTTGTATTAAACACTTTAAAATTAAATCACGGTGCTAGCAACAGTAAAGCAGCATGACCTGTGCTTTGACTTGCTAACTTTACTGTCTGCTATACCCACTCCAAACTTTTATTGACGTCCAGGCTGGGCCTACTGGAACATTTCTGTAGTCATTTCTGGAACTGTTATCACTAACTATTTAGTGAGGTTTTTGTTAGTTTGTGCTGTTGGGTTATTTGAGTATTGTATTCCTTCCACTGCCCTCCAAAGACACTTGACTGTTAGCAGTGCAAAGGTAGTTTACCAAAATAAAAATAAGATGGTTGGTTAAACATTAGCTCTTAGAAGTTTGTGTAGGTCCTATCATATTACCCAGTTTCTTTATCATTCATTATATACTTTTTTCCTTCAGTGTTTCTGTTTTCAGCACACATTTGACCTTAAATCAACACATGCCCTAATGTGTCTACATTCTTTGAGTTGCCATAGCAACGTAGCATTTGCTAGGTCTGAGGAAAAAAGTACCTCTGGGACAGATGAAGATGCATTGAGTTTCAGTTCTATACTGAAACTGAGTTTAACGTTTGTCTTGTCTTTGCAGTCTGATTTAGCTGGGATGTTTCAACCCGTTAGCTAGTAAAGCAGAGGATCGTTTGCTAGCTTTCATTCCTATCCACTGATATAATTAGACTTTTGTAAGAAATTGTGCATTTTTACAAATGTGTACATTTGCACTAATGTGAATACAGTGTTTGTGTATACCTATGTATTGTATAGCAAAACATACAGTAGGTTGCCTACGTGCCAGTTGCTAGCTAAACAAACTTTGACTGGAAAAGTGATTTTTTTTTTTAAGCGTTTAGAGATTTTGTTCTGTAGTTGGTTATCAAAAAGAAATAAATGTAAACTTTTTTTTATTAATCCAATAAAGTCTTGATGGTTAAATACAGTTCCACCTTCTTAATAAATTTGCAGGCTTTGTATCTTTTTGGACTGTTTGTCAAACAAAACGATCACTAACCCCACATTAGGAACTTCATCTTTCATTATTTCTTGTATTTTATTTATTGAATATGCCTTAATACTGAGAAAATACTATAAGACAAATTGATAATGAAAATAAAAGTTATTTGCAGCTCTCACATTTATGTCTGTTTATTTTATATTTCCAAGATAGATTCTTTTAAGAATATTTAGTGAATAATAGGAAGAGACTCATGTTCATTTAGATGCAATGTTGTGGTATCAGTACGAATTTCAGCTGATTACTTTTTACAGTACCTTTCAACATCAAATGCCATGATTTACCATGTAAAGGGTTACCATTAGTGTTTGTTGGAGTCGTATTCATTATTTACAGTCTAATTAGGCCTTAATATTTTGGTCCTTTGTTTGCTTTCTTGCATAATCATTGTTATCATGGGCATTATATGATTGATAATCATATCATGGCTTGGCTAAATGATTGGGTAAATAATTTGTGTTTTTGTCTTTTTGCATCTGTCCCAATTCCCGCAGAGTAAAACTGATGCTTCTTCTGACTGACTTTAGCTTCTTTATATTTTTGCAGGTTTACAGGTGGTTTTAAATTCCATTATTAAAGCCATGGTTCCCTTGCTTCACATCGCTCTGCTGGTCCTCTTTGTCATTATTATCTATGCCATCATTGGCCTGGAGCTTTTTATTGGCAAAATGCATGCCACCTGTTACATGACAGAAACAGGTAAGGTATCTTCCTTTCTTGTCTGCTACTACACGTCTGCTTCACTTTCTACAGACACCTGTTAAAAGAGGGATTTGTACTCCATAATGTAATGTAAACAGGCATACACGTCACCTTAGAACAGACTCAGGATCCCTGTCCCTGAAAATGAATGGACACATGTACCTATGTGAATGGTGACAAGCCACTGAAAACAGGGCAGAACAGCAGATGGTGGATTAAATCCAGTGATTAAATGACTAATATCTAGCTATTATGTAAGCATGCTTGACCTTTGACCATTACTCTTTGATGTCAGTGTATCAGAAAAAAAGGGACATGTTGATGGACATTAGCACATATGTACACAAAGACACATACATAAAACCACAGTTATAGTCTAAAATGGCTGACTGACGGGATTGAAGCAGCTTAAGAAACAGGGATTTGCTGCATTACGACAACTGTTATCGTGGCGTGTCACTCTCCCTCTCATACACCTTTCACGTAATCTCGCCTTCTTTCTCTCCCTTTCTTGCTTTCATCTGTTCTGTTTGCCTGGTGACTTCAGGAGAAGCACAGTAGGGTAAAGTCGAGAGGTCGCGACAGAGCAGGATTGAATCTCGCTTTAATCAAAGCCACTGTGTGTTCACCAGCCCTGAAAAATAGCATTTAGCATGTGTTTCTTTTTAGGTTTTTGGATAGGTCAGAGGGACATGCATCCAAAAAAGGAAGAGGCCACATGTTTGAATTTGTGTGTGTAGAAGCACTGTGGTTATTTGATTAAAAAGGTGGAAAGTTTAACATGTGGGCTAATCTACAGTGAGTGAACTGTAAGCGTGGGGTGCTGGGGCAAACTGTAATTAATGTCAGTGTATAGCATAATTTTCTGCATTGCTCCTATGATGATGGAATAATGTCACAATACTGAACAGTGCAATTTTAAAGTGTGACACAGAGGAATGCCTGAATGGCTCTATGGATTCCTGATGCCTACTGTATTTTATCATGGATATAGCTTAAACCTAACTTTATTATTATCTTTGCATGAAGTAATAATCCAATCATAATGTCAGAATCAAAGAAAATATACTGATGGGGAACTCTTAAAAATAATGCTGGAGGAAAAAAACTCCACATTCTTGAAAATCGATTATAACACACTAAGAATGAAGATGCAACATGAGATTTAAACGTGGACAAAGAACATACGTGAAATGATGTGACAAATAATTGAACAAGTTTTGCCTGGATGATCTAAAGTCGCTTTCATGTTGTTTCCATGTTGATTTACCTGTTTGTCTTTGTATCTCCAGGTGCCCTCGCAGAGGAAGAGCCGGCGCCATGTGCAATATCAGGGCATGGGCGTCATTGCCTTCTCAATGGTACAGTTTGCCGGGAGGGCTGGCAAGGCCCCAACAATGGCATCACCAACTTTGACAACTTTTTGTTTGCCATGCTCACTGTGTTCCAGTGCATCACCATGGAAGGCTGGACTGACGTTCTCTACTGGGTAAACCCAAATTTACATTGCTACTTGAAAATATAGTGCTGTGCAAAAGTCTTGAGCCACCCTGCATTTATTTATATGTTGTTTCCAGGGAGCCAGACTTTCTTGCAATTTATTAAGTGGTCTTGAGCAATAGTTCTCCAGGATTTCTCATGGTGTAGGATGTTGACTTTGGATACTGGCTGCTTTCCCAGTCATTATTCAGTCCACTCTTTGTACCTGGCTATTTTCAGTAGAATGTTATTTGTGTTTTTTAAGCTACTTAATGCTGACCTATGAATCATTCAGACATAAATAAAGACACATAGCTTCCTGGAAGAACCAGTGTTGTGTTAACATATTTAGACAACTAAGAGCCAATTTTAAATCTTATCTTTAGGGACTTTGTTACTAGCAGCCTATTGGGAAAAATGGCTTGTTTAGATTAATATACAAAAATACCAAATATTAGACAGTTTGACGGGCATAGTATTTGGAAAACAACAAAATGATTCCCAAAGTGCTATTAGCTGAAAACCTGGCATACATTGGCATGGTGTGTCTTGGTGAAACTGAACCGATCAACAGTATCTGAAACTCATGTTCTTAAGAACAGGAAACAATCCTGTCACAGGACCTGAGAGATGCATCTGGCCCTTCACTTGATCCATCTACTGTTCCATTACTTAAGAATGGGAAACTTATAGAAAAGGCTGAGGTAACCCAAGTTACACAAGAAGACTGAAAATCAGTAACATCTCTTATGAAGTGCAAAATAATCATCAATATGCACTGAGGAGGTCAGGAAAGAGTGTCTACAGCCATTTGTAAAACATGGTGGAGGCTCTGTTATGGTTTGTGGATCTTGTCGAAATTGATGGAATTTTCAAGACAGAAAACTACCATCGGAGTTTTATGCAGGATGCAATTGCATCTGGAAAGCGTGCGACTGGAACTGGATTTTTTTTGTTTTAGCATGATAGTGATCCCAAACACACTGCAAATTCAATACAAGCATATCTGGATAGGAAAACACTATCAGTCATGGATCCCCAAAGCTCAAACCTCAACATTACTGAAACAGTGTTGGATCATCTTGACAGAGAACAGAAAAAAACGACAGGCAACATCCAACAAAGAGCTCTAAATGTCCTTCAAGGAGCCTGGAGAGCTATTCCTGCACACTAGTGAAATATATTACAAGAAAGCTGCCTAAGAGAGGTCAGGCGGCGTTGAAGAATAAAGATACCAAATACTGATTTCCAACTTTGTTAGAATTCCACAAACTCTATTTGTGCCTTATATCCTGTATTTCTCAAAGTTTGCACATGTTTGAAGAAAATGCTGGCTCAGGAGATTTACACAGCACTGTATGTATAATATTAAAGTAATAATAAGTGTAATAGGATTATGCATGGTTTTTTTAAACAAAGTTAATGTCATTTAAATTCCTTAAAAAAAGGAAAGTTGTTTTTTATAGCTCCTAACAAAAAAAGAGGATTCGCATGACAAACTATTGTTATATAGACAATGGAGCTATTGCTTAACAATGGAACATTAGTTACAAATGTGACAAAAGCAGTAAGACACCATTCAGAACCATGATTTTTCATGCAGGTTTGACCCCAGCAACACTTTTCCAAGCAAACTCATTTAAGCCTTTGTTTTTTTCTCTCTGTTTTGCAAATCCATGCTTTATGTGATTTTTTTTTGTTGTTGTTGTTATTTTCTAAAAAAGTTTTCACAGCTAGAGTGTGTAACCCATTTTTAAAGGCTAACCTGAAACCCCTGGCTTCATATTAACACAAATCACCAACAGCTTTTAATTAGCCAAAATACTCAGCACTGATGATGAGTTTTCCTCACAATACACCCACGCCCTTTTATTGATGGAGACCCTCATCTATGAAATAATGAACCTCTTCACCTCCTTCTCGTTCGTCTTCTCAGACTGTCTCTCTCTGTCCCACACACTTTCATGCATGTATGTGTTACCATGGCAATCCCATGCTAATACTGCTGTTAAAGTGGTGGAAGGAAGGAGATTCAGCAAACCTAAAAGATGGAAAAAGAGATCATGGCAGGATAGATACGCAGATGTATAAATTAAAACTGACCTTGAGCCTTTCGTACTGATATAAGCCAAGTATAAATTTTTCTTCGGGGTGGGCGGTTCTGCGGCTGGAGGCAGGCACATCAGTGGGATTTTTTTCTTTAACGGGAAAATGACTATCAAAATAGAAGTGTAAACTGTAAACATTTACACTGACTGAGCAAAGAAAAGTGCCTACTGTGATGAGAGCTGTGTGAAATGTGATTATGAAAAAAGGGCAAACTTTTAGGTCCTGGTGTTGCCAGCAGCTCAGCTAAGAGGCACGTTGGATTTAGTGCGGTCATTTGGCACAGCCTCATTACTAACACTAATACAAGTACTCACTGTCATTCAGAACTGACCCAGTTGTCTCTCACGTGGTTCCCTCTAGTGGTCACCCGTCCTGCTGCAGTTTTAGCTGCCGTTGAGTGACAAACCTCTTTCCTGCTCAAGGGATACTGTGGGCTTTGCACCTCCATGAGTTAATGATTTTTTTAAAATTAGAATTCAGTTTTTATTTCGAATAATTTAATCTATGTAAGCTGTAAGAATAACATTGCCATGTCTGAATTTAGAGTTAATTCAGTTAAATGTTCCTATTATCTCTTTCTGTGTAGATGAATGATGCAATGGGCTTTGAGCTGCCGTGGGTCTACTTTGTCAGCCTCGTCATCTTTGGATCCTTCTTTGTTCTTAACCTGGTTTTGGGTGTGCTGAGTGGGTATGTTTCATGTTTCTGTTTTGAATTGTTGTGTTAATAAAATGCCCTGTTGTGGGTGCTGAGAGTCTACTTGAAAGGAACATGCAATTTACAGTCTGCGTGTAATATATCTATAAAACATATTCATAGATGGGGTATTTTGCTCATTTTGGTAATAATATAAAAATGTGATGCTGCGTGTGAATTCCACAAATAAGTTTAACCCTGCACATTTAACAAATGATAAGAAATTGTTTGTTGAGGTTATTAAGTTATCAGTTTTAGTTTTAGTTTTAAGACTGCAGAGCCCTCCCATTCTGTACAGTGTTACGGTGACCCACGTTTGACATTATGCTTTCCCCTCTATAGAGAGTTCTCCAAAGAGCGAGAAAAGGCCAAGGCTCGAGGTGATTTCCAGAAGCTGCGTGAGAAGCAGCAGTTAGAAGAAGACCTGAAGGGCTACTTGGACTGGATCACCCAGGCAGAGGACATCGACCCTGAGAACGAGGAGGAGGGAGATGAGGAGGGCAAGCGTAACCGTGAGTTACCTGGATTTAATGTTTTTTTTTCTCTACTCTTGTCCAGCACTCTTGTCCAGCAGGCAAACAAAGAATGCAAACAGAACTGTGACTTACAAAGCCTTAACTTCTTCTGCCCTGAGATAATGCTGCACATTTCTTTGCCACTAAAACTGTTACAAGAGGAAGGAGAGACGGTCAATCTGTTATGCATCTAACTGGCAGTTCTCATGATCCTTTGCTTACTTTGACTTGAATGCGGCTCATTGTGGGAACATGACGTTGTTTTGAGACAGCTGCTTCCTTGCAATAATTTCTGACTTGGCATTTGATTAGTACAGTAAGTGAGGGGTGACTGCTTCTGTTTATTTGTGTTGACAAGGAGCACAAGGACTGAATTAGAATGAGGAAGCTCAGGCAGGGATTGCTTGAAGCATCTAAGATTTCACTAAAAATTGTATGATAATGCACCGAATGCGATCTAATACATGAATGTAAATCTTTTGTGAGTTCCTACATTTCTGCAAACATACTGTATGACCTACAACAATGACTCCTGAAGCCCCTGGTGGGCCACAAAGGTACTGCAAGTAGGCCTCAGTAATAACAGAAATTGATTAGTTTGAATACTCACAGGTTTGTACAGTTAAATTTTTATATACATGTATTTATTTATATAAAAAATGAATTTAATTTGGTAATAGGAGATAGCTAGTTTGTGATATTACTAATTTTTCTGACACAAATTAATCAATCTAGATAAGGTTGTTTATGTTTTTTGAACACAAATTTAAAGGAACTATATCGCTTTCTCTTGTGTTTTGATTAGATTTAAGATGGATGGGCCCGTTGGGATTTTCTGGTTCTTAAGTGGGCGGCAGCAGTCCTGACTTTGGGGATGGCTGACTTACAACATGATCATGAAAAGAAAGCCTAGTGTAACAAATGTGGGAAGATCAGTGTTTTCAGCTGCTCTCAGTCATTCATAGCACAGCAGAGAATGATTAAGCTATGACAGCCTCATAATTCCTTTAAGAAAATTAGAATAAAAAAACTTTGCTTTCAAATAGAAATGTGTTCTGCAACAATACACTTCTTAACATCCACCTCCACCTCTGACACAGTTAAATACCTACATTTTTGCCTTTGTGTACGCAGTACGAATATCTCAGCCAGACATATTATGTGCCTTATAACCGCTGAATATTATCTTCCACATAATTAGTGTTAAATCACTACAGCAGTGAATCACAGCCTCTGAATTACCACCTACTTTTCAGATACGTTCACTTATAACAGTTTTGACCATTCATGGGTCTCTCCAGCCGGTCAGAGTAAACACCAGCGTTAGTTTAATCCATAACAAATGTAATGGAATCCTTATTACATGGACGTAATATACAACTGGTGGTATAAACACCCATCTTTGGCATGCTGGAGGATTTTATCTATGAAATCATAACCACTGTAGCAGTGCAGTTTGTGTGCTGCACTACACTTTCACACATGCGTGTCGTGAAATTAAATCTCTAGAATTTTCTTTGATGTGTCTTCAGTGTCTTCAGATTTTCACAGCGCTGCACGTTCAATACCGTGGCAAAAGCTGTGTGTTTTTCTTTGCTGTATTTCTATGTTTATATGGGTTGTAAATAAAAATGCATATAAATACTGTATTTTACTTTTATCTGGATTCCAAAAACTTAACTATTTCAGCTAATGTGATCTAACATATTGTGGATGGACTGTAACCATAATGTAATTCAGCTCCACGTTTGCCGTAATAAACAAGATTTTAACGTTGCTGGTTAGATTTGGTTACATTTGTAGACAATGTTACTTGGTTGCAGTAGCAATGACACAGAAAAAATACTGACAAGTAGTAACAAAAATATATTTTTCATTACAGGCACGCCCTGGAAAAATATTTAGCTGTAAGTTTTTCAGATTCAGAAAAAGCAGGACTATCTGCGTAATTCTTAGATTTTAATAAAGAAGGCAAACAAAAAACAGGCAAACTTGATTTGCAGATTGACATTTGTATTCATGTGTGTTTAGGTACTGTGACTGGTGGAGAAGCCAGTATGAACAACTTGAACAGTTAGTTCTGGTTTCTGACATTTGCTGTATATGGAATAAGTCGAATGAGCCATTAAATAATCTAATAGTCCAAAGTTGATGAACAGGAGAAATTTGGGCTTTTTTTTTTTTTACATATGACATAGCATCCTGCCATCAGAGAGAGATGAATTTCCTTAGTTGTTTGCTCTACCTTAAACATTTACCTTTTTTGTGTGTTTATTTAAGCATAGTATTTCTAATATCTGGTATGAAAATCGGATGGCGCAGCGGCTCCGTGATTCTATTAACTGACAGTAGGAAGGCCATTTAAAATTATCTGTTGAATTCAGGGTTTTTCTTTTGTTATTTTGCAACAAATGTTGGGACTGAAGCTTGTGTCATTAGTAATTATACCATAATCCATCTGGATGTGCAGGGAAAAAAATGTGGGCGTAACTGACATGAAAATACATCTGACCCGAATTATAGCTAGACTGCCTCGTAACCATTCACAGAGCAGTCAGTGCGAATGTACCTGTCAGTTTTTATGTTCACCAGTAGTTGCCTTGCTTTTAGCCCTGCTGTCGATGTTATAGATGACGACGGACTAACTTTACTTCCTTGCAGTGTGTGTGCGCCTTCTAAAAACTGTCTGTAGACTGCTGTTAATACCTGTTTCACCCTTCTCTTCCCTTCGTTTCTTTACATCATTTTCTCTCTTTACCCACAATTGTTCTCTTCTCTGCTTTCTTCTACTCTTTTCCAAAGTCGTGTTTAATGTTGATTGGTTCCAGTGTTACAGTGTATTATATAGTTACTCTGTCCAGAATTTACAGAGCTAATGTTACAGCGTGCAGTCTAACAGATAGTTGATTTTTATTGCTTTGTTTAATTTGTTTTTGCTTCATGTACTCAGCGGGACACTTTATAGTCATGGACAATCTTATGATGACACATTTAAAAAACGAATGTCCTTGACTGTCTTATTTATTTGCTGATATTAATACTAATACAAGTACATAATTTATGAGCTGATATATATCATAATTATGCCTTTATGTTCATCATGTTGTCTCTCTAAATGGTCTGATGTCTTCAAATCTACAAATTACTGTGAATTCCTCCTTATTTGGTCTTTTTACTCCTTACTGCCAGTCACTTTTGCCCAAGGAGCAATGATGAATTAATTATTACACACACAATTCATGCATAAATAAATGTAGTTAGTGTATTATTATTAGTAGTTAATCCACTAAATATAATTCAAGAATGTCCTGTATACTTTTCTGGACACGGTAGCTGTGCCAGTAGCTTGTATTGCAGCTGTCTCTTGCTGTACGTTCCTCTCTCTCTTGTTGTGCTGTGTACTGACTCACTGCTTCCTCTGCTGTCTGGCTGTATGATCTGCATGTTGATAACACCAAGGGGTCACGCTGGCTGACCTTACTGAGAAGAAGAAAGGAAAGTTTGGCTGGTTCACTCAGTCCACAGAGACACAGGGTAAATGTGTGTGCGCGCGAGTGTCTGAAAGTCTGAATTTCCCCACACATCTTCACCAGGACGGTTCATCACCTGCATGTGCTTTGCTTATGCTTTGTGTGTGCTCTCGTATTTAAACACCCTTTCCTTTATTAGTCTGTTTCTGATCCTTACCATCTTCAACACATACATGTTATTCTATTACTGCACTGGCATAACAGGACAGTCCAACTTCCAGTAAAATGCTTTAAAGATTTTGAATTTTACACCACATAAAAGGAAGGGAAAAAGAAAATGGAGTTTGACCCGTTTAGAGCAGTTTAGAGAAAAATTATATATTTTTATTTAACTGAAGAATTAGTAACACTGATATTCCTAATACCACCCACACACCACATTGAACATTGTTTTACATACATATGTGTGTGGGCGCATGTGAATGTAAGCCTAATTCACAATGCATACTTTAGTAAGTATAAAACCATCAAGATAACAACAATAAGCCTCACTTAAAATGATAAATATCCTGTGAAACTCTAAAAATATATGGCATTGCAAATAAATAATTTTATTAGTATATGCACCAACAAGCCTTAACTTTAAAATATATAACATAATTGAAAATGAGCTCCCTTAAAGTACTTAAAATGTAAATGTTGGCATTTTGTTGCCCAAAAATGTACTTACATGTATAATATGCGAGTGTTAAATGTCAGCAAAATTTATTTAGCTCATATTTACTGTATTGCCATGTAAGTATAGGGTATATTTATCTAATATTAATGTTGTTAGTTAATATTATAACTAGATTTTCAGTATTTTGGGTCAGAAGAAAAATACCTTAGCTACAAAATTATTAAAATTTAGCTCTAATCAACATCACCTATATGTTGTAAAATAAATTGTAAATTGAAGTTTTGTAAATAGTTATTTTAATGTTTACCATGAAAGTAAAACTGCAAAAAAATATACTTGTATATATTATAATGAGTAATAAATTAGTTATTACTCATTATTATTGTTAATAGTTATTTTTATTTTAATAGATTTAAGTGTATTTTTCTACAAAATAACTTTATTGTAATACATTGCTTATGTTATAATAGGTGATAAGAGAATCTAATTATTACTTTGATTTATTTACAAAGAATTATAGACATTAGTTTAAACTTTCCAGTAACCATTAAGATATAACAGTTATCTAACAACACAGATAATTATCATACGCAACTGTAGAAACCAATTATTAGCACATTAGTGTACATTATGAATTACAATTTAATCTCTTAATAAACAATAACTTACCATTTTTTAATGATGACTGAGGGAAAACATAGAATTTTATCTAGGACTGCCACATGGTTTTCTCATCATCATTATCATAATAATGGCATCATCATCATCATCATCATCATCATCATCATCATCATTTTGAGTCACGTTTTCAATTGCAACTATATTTTGTGCATGTACAATAAATGTGAATACTAATGTGTATACGCATGACATACCTGGACAAGAATAATTGATGCATTTGACTGCAGTGTTCATCTGAACACTGCAGTCAATGGTATTTCAAACCTCACCATGGAAAATGGATTTCCAGTTCCAGTCCAATAAATAATAATCTATCAAATTTAGTTTGACTCTGGACTGGCAGCATGTATTCACTGTTACTAGATCTGTGCAAAAACCTTGAGCTTCATCTTTTTGCAGTGCTCACAAGCATTACAGCTGGTTTCACACTGTGAAACTCCAACATCCAGGGGTCAAACTTTGTCAGGCAGTCACTCCAGCATTTTTATCTGACACTTGCAGATTTTGCTGTTTCATTAAAAAAAAAAAAAATTTCTGGTGGTTTGGCTTGGCCTTCCTAATAAAAAAAAAAGAGATCAATGGAGTCCATGTTAAATAATCACAAGCTGAAATCTGAACTCAAGATTATAATCTATTGTTTTACTGTAACGACTGATTAGAGTGTTTATTTGGGCTTTGTTTGTTCAGATTTTAAAATAAGTCACATTTATTTTGAAGGATATTTTATCACTCGAGAACCAAGCCAAATCAAAAATGCATGGATATCAATAAGAGAATCAGTCATAACATAACAGAAAGCCTGTGTAATAAACTTTTTCCATTAACGTGTCTTTACGTGTGTGTATTTGTATGTGTGTGTGTGCGACATGACAGCGAGCATACCCACAAGTGAGACAGAATCAGTGACCACAGACAATCACAACGGAGAGGAAGACAAATCACCATGCTGTGGTCCACTGTGGTGAGTGCTGTATATGTTACTCAACACATTACACGTTTCACTCTAAAATTTTATTGACAGCTTAGGCTGTCTGGTAACTGACAGTCAGTAATATTAAAACTCATTTGATTGGATTGCAGAGTGCACATTTGAACATTCTGTTACATTTAATTAAAAGTTGCTTCTTTTTATTCTCCCCAGTCAAAAAATTACTAAATCAAAGTGCAGGTTGGTACCCCGTTGTGGTGCTGCATGGTAGCTTTGTTCATCATTTACTGGACTTGTCTCATCTTGCATGGTTGATTATGGCATCATGTTTTAATTGTTCAGACCGCTGATGTTATCATCTGTGGTTTGTTCCCCCTAAATGTAATCATTGTGTTTATGCACCTGAAACCTACCCTCTTTTCCTCCTAATCAACTTTTTCCCCTTTGGAATCATAATGAAGTTGCTTTTATTGTATTTCACCAATCAAATAATCCAAAAAATAGCAATACAAAAAGCAAAAACCTAAACATGTGACACTCATCGCCTACAGCCGTCAGTGGCGTCGATGGAACCGTTTCTGCCGCAGGAAGTGTCGCGCAGCTGTGAAATCGGTGACCTTTTATTGGCTCGTCATCATCTTGGTGTTCCTCAACACTCTTACTATCTCGTCTGAGCACTACAACCAGCCAGACTGGCTGACTGAAGTACAGGGTATGTGCTCTGCTCTGTTTGTTCCACGCTATCCTAAAACGTGCATTTAGACGTTTTTATCCCGCTTTTTTCTCCAGATGTTGCCAACAAAGTTCTTCTGGCCTTGTTCACCTTGGAGATGCTGGTGAAAATGTACAGCTTGGGATTGCAGGCCTACTTTGTATCCCTGTTTAACCGCTTTGACTGTTTCGTGGTGTGTGGCGGCATCGTAGAGACCATCCTGGTGGAGTTAGCGATCATGTCTCCTTTGGGTATCTCTGTATTGCGCTGCGTACGCCTCCTTCGAATCTTCAAAGTCACACGGTGAGCAATTCCCGCACTAATACTACTACTGACAATGACAATAATATTAATAATACTAATGTTTATATAGCACCTTTATTAACAAGGTTTGTGCTGAACTGAACATAAGTCAAAGAAAAAAATAAAATAAAAGTCAAATTTTAAAAAGTCACACAAAAGATGAGAATTCAAAAGTGCATGAGGTCTATGAAATGTCCCCTAATTACATTTAAAAACATAACATTTAAATATATTATAATATATTCATATATAGGTTCCAGCGCCCCAGCGACCCTGAAAAATATAGGCAGAAGAGAATGGATACATGGATGAATAATAATCTATTTAATACAGGCATCAGACCAGCAAACCTCCACTGGCACAGCCTGTTACAGACATGACCAGTAATCCATCAATGGGAATGTCTGAGATTTCTATTTAACACAGAGCAAAGACAAAACTATTAAATCTTTAAAAAAAACAAAACAACAGAAAGTCATGTGATCTCTGGACGTAAGATGTTTAAAACCCCGTCTTTTGATTCAAATATGGGGTTTTAAAATTTGTTTTTATATAATTTTTCATTTGGAGTGCATTGTAGTTTTTTTAAATTCCGTTTTCAGACTTATACACGTGAGCTTAGAGTGCAACTAACGTAAGCAACATTTAATCTCTCACTGACAGAAAAAAAGCCTTTTATTTTGTATAAAATGTATCACTTGTATGAAGCTCAGAAAATAAGAAAGTGCTTTCACCCCGATTATTGCCAAAAGTGATCTGTTACATGAGAACACGTGAAAGATCTCGCTGTAAATCTTTCACATAAGGCTGATGACACTTATTTCAAACAAACCGAAGGATTCAGGGATCTGTGAGCATATTAACTGACTACAGCATGTCTGATACCAGCTGGCTAAGTTGAGCGTATTGACAAGACATAATCCCTTATTGTTTGTTTCTTCCTCAGTCACTGGGCATCTCTCAGTAACCTGGTGGCCTCTCTCCTCAACTCCATGAAGTCCATCGCATCCCTGTTGCTGCTGCTTTTCCTCTTTATCATTATCTTTTCCCTGCTTGGCATGCAGCTTTTTGGGGGAAAGTTTAACTTTGATGAAACTGTGACTAAAAGAAGCACTTTCGATAACTTCCCCCAGGCCCTTCTCACTGTTTTCCAGGTATCTGTTTGATTTCATTGTTTCATTCAAAATTAAAGCTCGCTGTGAGCTAATTCAATGCTAATCTGTCAAAGAGTCTGTTGAGGTGCGATTTGCAAGAATCACAACATCCAATCTAAGTGTCTGCAGTAAGACAATAAATACAGTTTAAATTATTGTCTGGGCAAACAGAATAATTTTGGCGTCCTCTGCTCTACATTGTGTTCACCAGATCTTGACAGGAGAAGACTGGAACACAGTAATGTATGATGGCATCATGGCATACGGTGGTCCTGCCTCCTCTGGAATGGTCGTCTGCATTTACTTCATCATCCTCTTCATTTGTGGAAACTGTATCCTACTGCCTGCGAAGTGTGCACACATCCGTGTGAAAAAGTTGTTTTTAATCGGGGTGTTTAGTGTTTTCTCTTTAACTCAAATGATCAGACATCCTGCTAAATGTTTTCTTGGCCATCGCCGTTGACAACCTGGCAGATGCAGAGAGCCTCAACACAGCGCAGAAAGAGGAGGAAGAGGCAAAGAAGAGGAAGAATAGTGCCAGGTGAAGCTGTTTAATATTTTATATTTGAAGGTCTAGTGTTGAAGTCTTTTGTCACAGTCACTTAAAAAAAAAAAAGCGTTGTAAATCAGACCTTTTCATCTGTGCCCAACAGGGATGCAAGCGCTGATAAGAAGAGATGTGACATAGCAGAAAGCAAAGATGGCGAGACCAAGGTAAAAAAAATCAGGATTTACATTATATTATCAAACTGCAGACATGCATATGTTAAATGGCAGCACTGATTTTATTAAAATCTCTCTTAAACCTGAATGATGAAGGTGCCGCTGGAGGGCTTGCAAGAGGAAAACAAAGAGTTGTATCCTTCCAGTGAGTCTCCAGGTAAACTGACTTGTTTTAACTGAGCAATACACATACAGTATAC